ACAGTGTAGTTTGTTTATAGCCTAGAGTTTATAGCTTTTTACTTCTGCCAATCGCATTCACAAATCAAAAGTGGTGTTCAACAATCCAAAAACTAAAGAGTAAAATCCTGTTGGCAAGGAACCAGAGCGATGCTAACCTCCGGGTCGGCCTACAAACACACGTCATCGCTGCAGCTCTTATTATAATGCAATAATACAATGAATCAAGATTTTAAAAGGTCAAAAGCTATTACAAAACCATAATCATGACTCTGTCTTTTATTAGGTGGAACTGTGAAGTAAGGATGCAAGTTGCATATCAAGGAAAATACTGAGTTTATCTGTTGTGGTGATTGCAGACTGTACTGACCGATTTGGCTTCAAGAGCCCGTAAGAGGCATTAATCCAGCAAGAAAAGGAAATATGAAACTAGCACAACAATTTAAGTTGTTAATTTTAAGTGTGTTAAAAGAACAGGAAAGATCAAGAACACAGAGGCTCCATTGTAGTTTTCACTCAGCAGCTCTCAGCTTCACATTTATTACATGTTACATGTAATTGTATCACAAACTGGTCCAGGGACAGCAAAAACATGCGCTCAGTGAAAGAGTCCCGGGCTACAGGCAGCACCACCATCAGATCATAACACTGTAAACACCAACATGAAGAGGTTTACAGGAAACAGTAGTTGAAGGTAAAAACATGAATCAGCTGTTAGTTTTTTAAATGAAGCAGAGACCTTTAAACCTTTGTGCATGCTTACAGTACATGCCATGAGGGGAAGAGTAGCAAACACTGCGAGGGATGTGATGCCTTTTCAACTAAAGCGCTGTAAAAGAAGACAAGACAGCATGAACGCAGCTCTTCCACCACATACAACAATATTACACAATATAGTCATCAGTTTAAAAGACTGTATAAGTAGGACTGATTGTTTTTTAACAAATTCGTACTACTGCTGCACATTTTCATTGATTTTGGCTAAAAAATAAGTAAATCTATGTATATAATGCCTACTTTTGGGACATTGTTTTTAAAAGGTATGTATTTTAAACAAACCCAGGACTGAGGTTGGGTCAGTTAATGATGCAAAGAAATGAAGTGTATTTCAGTAAATCCTCCTCACGTGTTAACCAGTCCAGTAAAAAGTTCTTCTGGGGCTGTGGAGGAGCTTTATAAAGTTTGAAAATAACCTTATCTCGGATCGGAGGCAACAAATTTATTATTAATTATATATTAATATATATATTATATATAATCTGTTCCATTTACTTACCTTTGCCTTTCTCTCCAAAGGCCAGCGAAGAGGGAACAGTTATTTTTCGTTTCTCTCCAGGACACATATCTTCCATCCCTATGTCAAGGCCCTTGATGACTTGTCCGACGCCCAGCACAAACCACTGAGGGTGCCCAGCTTTGTCCGATCGACTAAAACAGAAACAGTACAAAGTGAAACAGCCTGTCGATCAATTGTCAGAACTGCTGGGTTCCTGTGTCTATGTTACCGTTTAAACTAGAAAGCCAGTTGTTAAAACTGTTTATGTCGGTCAATAAAGTAAGAGCAAAACTTTCATTTACTGACAGCATTTACATTATTTAAATTATAATGTTGCGCCCTTTGCATCAGCTGTCTGGAGGAGACATCTTTAACACGTCTGGCTACGCAACTTGGCCTCATGTTATTAATTTAATTATGACATCTGATCATTCATGAGCCATTCCACTGAATTACATGCATAAATATACATGGAAACTATTGTTTGATACATCATATTATTTAGCAAAGTGTCCTGTACTTTGTTCTAATTGCAATTT